TTATTTTCTTTATATCTATTATATTTATTGTTGAAAATTTGAATATATTAAAGAACAAAACAGTTAAATTAAATGTGTTAATAATGAAATAAATATTAATCATTTAAACATTGTTATATTTAAATATTATATTTATAATCATTATAATGAATATTTAATGAATTAATTAAATGATAAATATGATAAATATGATATTTCATTGTTATATAAATGAAATATATTCAAATTATTATTTAATCTATTCTTTATTTAATTATTCTAATTTAAAAAAGAATTCATTGTATCATTTATTTATGATTAATTCATTTAATTTTGTTATTTTATTTGAAAATATTTTATCATTAATAATTGAATAAAAATAATTATTGTTTTGTGTTTAATTCTTATTTATTTCATATCATGTTAATTATAATGATATTCATTATTCAGAATGTATTTTTATTATCTTTCTTATTATTTATTCACATTTTCATGAAATAATAAATGTATTCATATCATTACATTCACCATTTTATTTAAAATTAAAATAAATGAAGTTGTATAATAAAATTATTTAATTATTTCAATTTCTATTCTTTCTTTCATTTTTATCATCATTTTCTTTTCATATTTATTCTTTTCATGTTATTATTATTAACTTATCAAATATATCAATTCAATAATACAATTTATGTATTTATTTATTATTTACATTTTATTATCAATAAATATCAATATTAAGTTTTTAAAGTGTAATGAATGAGAATAGGGTAAATAATAAAATAAATAAGAAGAATGAATAAATTAATAGAAATTAATGTGTATATCATTGTTTGTATTTGTAATAATCAATTTATTCACAACATTCTTTTACAATAAATAAATTAGAAACAACAAAATCAAAGAACTAATAAAATGAAATTAACTAAAAATCCATCATTAAGAAATGCAAACAAACCCTGATGTTTATTACAACATCGAAATGATTGACATGATGAATTGTCAATATCTGTCAACTATCAATGAAGAAAAACCAATCAAACAAGATAAGAGTGAAAAAGAAATGATGAAAAGAGAAATAAAGAAAAGAAATTATCATCAGATTAAAACAAGAAAGACAGACAACCACAAAATAGGAAAGAAGAGTTATGAACACATCAAAGAAGATAAAAGAAGCACTCAAAGAAGTGATGATGATACAATTGAAGAAGATGAGTACGAAAGAAATGAGAAAAAAAGAATAAAGAGAAGAATGAATGAAATGATGAAAGAAGTTGAAGAGAAAGAAATGAACAAAAGAAAAATTAAAGAAAATATGAAGAAAGAATGGAATGAAAGAAAAGAAAGTGGAGATATTTTGATGAGAGAAGAAGAAAGAATAAAAGAAGAAATTGAAACACAATATTCAAACACACCAAATTATCAAGAAAACAAAATATACAATATTATTAAAGAAGGATATCAAAGAATCAAAAAAGGAGAAATTATCAATGAAAAAGAATATCAAGAAGAAACAAAGAAATGTGGATGGAGTGTTGGGAGTGATTTAACAATTATTTCAATGATAAAGAAATATGGAATATGTAATAAGAAAGAAATATATCATAATCCAATTATTCAATATCAATTAGAAGAAATAAATGGAATTAGAAATGAAGAATGTTGTCAAAAAGTTATTTCAGAACGAATTAAATATATTGTAGAATTAATAACAATTAAATGTAAATTATAATTCATTCTATAAATTATCACATCCAAAATATTAATTATTTAATTATTTATATCATTAAATTATTCAATAAAATATAATCATTATTTTCATTTTATTTCTTATTTTAATTAAATTATATAATAAATAATGAATAAATGATAAAATTATGAAAATATTTAATTAATATCTATACAAATCAATTTTATCATTCATAAAAATATTAATTTATATTTATTTCTTTTATTTTAATCATTTTTATAACAATGATTAATTTAATTCTATTTGATTTTATTCTCCAATTCATTCATTTTTAGTTATTTTCTTATTATTT